GATCCACTATCACCTGCCCCTCTTGTCAGCGTGCATGAATCCCTCCTAATTTCATGATACCGCCTTTCGTTCCCAGAAAAGTACCTTGACTTCCAACCTAGAAGTAACCTCCTGAGGGGCTCTTCCCTTCTAACCGCTCCCCAGCCCGATGGTAAACTGTGATCCAGCCCAGCCCAGCACAGTCTCTGCGGTTCCTGGGGGCAGTGACAAAGTACTATAGGCATCTGGCCCACTGGAGCCGCCTCTCCCATCCTTGACCTTTACCTGGGATCCACCCCTACTGACCCCTCCCCACCACACATATACACACCCCGCTCTGGAGCCCAGGCTCCCCTGTCCACCTGTCCAGACCTGCCTCTGTCCTCCTGCCTGACACACCCAGCCCAGCCAGTCCCCAAGGGCAGAACATCTAGTCTAATTAGAGAAGAGCTGGAAGAGAGGTCCTGAGAGAGCAGCTTCATCTCCACAGCTGATGTCCCTTTCCCAGATCAGGAAGGATCCTGAGGCCCTGAGAAATGGCCGGTCCTTGTGGTGGGTTAGTGGCTGGGAGTGGACTGCAGAGGCCCCAGTTCGTTCCTACAGCCCCCAGTCAGGAGAGGCCAGGAGTTCTCCTGAGGAGCTGGGTGCCAGAGAAGCCACAGGGCAGTGGGCCCAGCTCTGGGAAAGGATGCCCTTGTTGTAGAGTTTTGGGAGATTGGAATCCAGCTCTGCACAAAGGGAAGGGAAATCAGACTAGACCTCTCAGTAACCAGTTTCTTGCTAGTAGCATATTAAATAGAAAGGGGCAATCCTCCCAAGGACTGGCAACAGGGGGCGCATCATTAGCATCAAACGCAGGAAAACTAATGGGCAAGGCCCTGGGTTCAATTTCCAGCCCTTGGGGGTGGGCGCTGTCTAAAAGTCAGTCTAGGGTGGGGGGTTTAGCTCAGTGGCACCTTCCTCGAAGCTCAAGGACCTGATTTTGATCCCCAGTACCACACACAAAAGTCAGTCTAGGGGCCAGGGATTTAGCACAGTGGTTCCGCCACCTGCCTTGCAAGTGCAAGGACTGGAATTCAATCCCAGGTACAAAAAAAAAAGTCAGTCTGCTGCTATTTGGCAGCAGCAACAGCAGCAGCAATTCTTTCCTTTTTTTTTTTTTTTGCAGTACCAGGGATCAAACTCAGGACCTTTCACTTGCAAGTCAGGTGCAGTGTCACTGAGCTAAATCCCTAACCCCAGCAGCAGCAATTCTAAATAATGTTGGTGATAAAATACACAGATAGTATAGAAGGCTCCCACTGCCCCATCCTGTACTCCATTTTTTCCTAGGTATTTATTTACCCTTACATTTCTGCCTATCAAATCCATGCTATTTGTTAAATCATAAAACAATTATAACTTTTTAGTAGAATTTATTAGTCTTTTTAGGATACCTTTTCTGAATGTTCACTTTAGAGTTTGGCTTTATTTTTTGTGCTAGTGAGGATTGAACCCTGGACGTTCACACTGAGCAACATCCCCAGCCCTTTTTATGTTTATTTTGAGTCAGAGTCTCACTAACTGGCTCAGGAGGGACTCAAACTTGCTACCCTCCTTCCTCAGCCTCCTAAAATGTTTATTTGATTGGTTTTTTTTGTTGTTGTTGTTTTGTTTTGTTTTGTTTTCTTGAGACCGGGTCTTGCTGTGTAGGTCAGCCTGGACTTGAACTCATTATGTAGGCCAGGCTGGCCTTGAACTCATGCTGATTCTCCTGCCTCAGCCTCCTGAGTGCTGGGATTACAGATATGCATACCTGGCACTTCTGACCATCTTTAGAAATAGCAACTTTTTAAAATTTGTTCATTCTGATGCTAGGGATCAAACCTAGGGTCTCTTGCCTGCTAGTCACTGTACCACTGAGCTACACCTCTAGCACCAAGAAATAGTAACCCCAGGGTTCTTTGTCTATTCGTTACTCATTCAGTCATTCCACATCAGTGAAAGCCCTCCCAAGTGCTGAGTGCTAGATGCTCACTGGAGAGGAAAATCCCGTCTCCATCCTGGAGAGTTTACAGGTCTTAAAGGGAAGCTATTGAGTAAACGAGGACTAACAGTGATGGACACAGAAGTGATAAGCACAGGGCCCATGGGAGTCGAGAAGAAGACACCTGGTGTGGTGAGAAACATCAGGGGAGGCTTCCCAGAGGAAAGGACGTTCATTTTTTTTTTTTTTTTTTGTACCAGAAGTAGGACTCAGGACCTCACACTTGCCAGGCAAGAAGTGCTGCACCGCTGAGCTGCATCTCCAGCCCAGGCATCCACTTTAACAGTAGTGGGGGGAAGGAGTCACCCAGGCAGGAGATCAGCGGGGCGGGGTAGCACACACCTCTCACCCCAGTGCTTAGGAGGCTGAGGCAGGTTTGAGGCCACCCTGGGCTACGTAGTGTACCCAAGGCCAGCTGAGCAAAGCAAAAACCTGTCTAAAAAAAGCGGGGGGGTAGAAAAGATGGTCTCCCCGTTCCCCATTCCCTAAGGCCCGGTGGGAGGTGGCTGAAAAATGCCAGCTGTGACATTCTAGATGGCTGGGGCAGGATGGGGCATCAGGGCACCGAAGAGGTCAGCCTGGGCCGTACTCCCTTCTGAGAGTGAGGAGGAGGAGCTATTGAAGGTGTCAGGGGGAGTGGGGCTGGGGTGTAGCTCAGCAGCAGTGTACTTACCCACCCGGCACAGGCCCTCTAGATTTCCTCCCCAGCACCACCAAAGCAAAACAAAACAAAGTTTAAAGCATGGCTGTAGCTCAGAGGGATTTGGTGTGAACAGAATGGGGAGAGCAGAGGCACTGGTTAGGAGGCAACTGTAGTAACAAAGGCGAGAAATGAACAAAGGGAGTCACATCAGAGGTGGAAAAGGAGGTTGGGCTGGAGCAGTGAGTGATTACTGTGGGAAGCAGGAGGGAGAAGCCCAGGTAACCTCTGCACTGTGGGCTGGGGTGGCGCCCTTCTCTGACATGGGAGCAAGGAGGAGCAGGCTTAGGGCATAATTGGGTCTCATTTTCATATTTATTATATGATGCTCTCAGATTCATAATGCTGCTTAAATGTATCTCTATGTATGTGTGGGTTTTTTTTTTTTGTTTTTTTTTTTTTTTTGGTTTTGTAGATCAAGGCAGTTCCCAAGCCAGGTATGGCAGCACATGCCTGTAATCCAGCACTGGGGAGACTCAGACAGGAGGGTCACCCCAAGTTCAAGCACAGTGAGTCCAAGGCCACCCTGAGCTAAGCAACACCCTGTCTCAAAACAAAACAAACAAAAAAAGACAGCTCTTGGCTGGGGGCAGGGGATAGTGAACTCCTATAATCCCAGCACTCAAGGGGTTGAAGCAGGAGAATGGCCAGCCTGGGCTACATAGTGAGTTCAAGGACAGCCTGAACTACATAGCAAGACCCTGTCTCAAAACAAGAATAAACAAACAAACAAACAAAAAAGCAGCTCTCAAAACATTCTGTGAATTTTTTAATTGCCTGGCAAAAACTGATACAAGTTCTAAAATATCAGCAGAATGATTTGCTGAATTCATTACAACCCTGTTATGTCATGTTTTGATTACAAAAAAAGTTTCAGTAAATTGAAAAAAAAACCTCTGTGTGTGTCATCCTGGTGAGTTGAAGTGAAAAGAGGTGAGAGATGTAGCATGAAAGGCCATTTCACGAACTCCATTGCATTCTACTTTATCTAACATTCAACAAGCAAGTCTAGTGCTGGGAAATAAACAAGTATCCTGGCCCCATAGAATTTACAATCTAGTAAATCAAAAAGTAATAGGGGATTATAAAACACTAACACTTTCACATAAAAAATTATTTTTTACTCTCTTCTATAAACGTAAAGCTTTTATTACAAATATAATGATGCCTCTAAAAAAGGTGAAAACTACAAGAAATAAAAGTAAATTGCTGGACGGGCATGGTGGCGCATGCCTGTAATCCCAGCACTTGGGAGGCTGAGGCAGGAGGATCACAGTGAGTTCGAGACCAGCCTGGGTTACATACTGAGTTCCAGGTCAGTCTCAACTACATAGTGAGACCCTGTCTCAAAAAACCAAAAAAAAAAGAAAGTAAATTGTTCACAATTCAGAAACAATATAATGCCTATTAATGTTTCATTCTTTTTCATCCATTAATCTCTCTAAAAATTTTGTTGATATAATTGAAAAGAATTTGTATAATGTCCTCTTTACCTAATGCTATGATTCTAGAATAATTATCAACTCTTCAGAATCGCGATTTTAGTAACTAAGAGACAAGCCACATGCCACTTAATCTACCCTCTATCTCTGAGTATTTAGCTTGTTTCCTTTTTTTTTTTTTTTTTTTTGTACCGGGGATAGAACTCGGGTCTTTGTGCTTGCAAGGCAGGAGGCGGTGTTTCCAATTTTTTATTTTTGGGGGGGGGGTTGAGACAGGGTCTCACTATGTAGTTGAGACTGATCTGGAACTCACTATGTAGCCCAGGGTGGTCTCAAACTCACAGCGATCCTCCTGCCTCAGCCTCTCAAGTGCTGGGATTACAGGCGTGAGCCACCATGCCTGGCTCTGTTTCCAATTTTTAAAAAATTTATAACAGAAGTTCTTGCTGTGTAGCCCAGGCTGGCCTCAAGCTTGCGATCCTCCTACCTCAGCCTCCCAAACACTAGGATTATAGGCATGCACTGCCACACTGAGCCTTCCAACTTTTTCAATTTTATGCTTCATTTTTTAATTCATAAGTACATTTATATTTTAATGTATCAGTATTTAAAGCAACATTACACTGAAGACCTTTGAGCAAAGGCTTTTTCTGTATCTTCAATTGTTTTCCCAATTAATAAGTCCTCAGAAATGAAATAAATGGAATAATGAATATGAGAAATATTCCCAGGCATGGTGGCCCATGCCTATAATTCCAGCTATTCAAGAGGCTGAGGCAGGAGGATCATGAGTTCAAGGCCAGCCTGGGTAACTTGCCAAGACCCTTTTTTTCTTCTTGAAAAAAGAAAACAGGTGCTTGCTTTAGCAGCACGTGTATTAAAATTGGAACGATACAGAGAAGATAGCACAGCCCCTGCCTGCACAAGAAGGGCACACAAATCTGTGAAGTGTTCTACATTAAAAGAAAAAAAGAAGAAAGAAGACAAATATGAGAAAGATCTCAGTTTATTTTAATTCTTTATATATTTACCTCTTGAACCCATCAATTTTACGGAATGAGGTGAGGAATTTTTTCTTTTCTTTCCAGAGATCAAAAAGGGTCTTTTTTAGGCACCACTCACACCATCCTATTTGTCACCAGCTTCTTCAACCTCTCCGGGCAATGAGAAAGATAAATGGAGAGGTGACAGCATAAACTCAATTTCTCTTTGCCCTAATGTTGTTTGTTTGCTTGTTTGCTTGCTTGCTTGTTTGAGACAGGATCTTGCTATGAAGTTCAGGCTGACACTGAACTTACTCTGTGGCCCAGGCTGACCTCAAACTCACGGTGATCCTTTCGCCTCAGCCTCCCAAATTCTAGGATCACAGGGGTGCGTTACCACGCCCAGCTTCTTTGTCCTAATTGTAAGAAAGTATTTTCCCTGTGTGAGTAACTGGCTTTCTCTAAATGTCCTCACTTTCTGATGAGTAACTAAACATGTTTCTTTACTTGAACTTTGTCAGAAATGTTTGGGCTAAATCAGCTAAAAAGCCCTTTGAAAGCTGAAAAATAAACAAAATAGAAAAGAAGCCAAAAGTAATTCAAGTTAATAAGTGTAAAGTATTTAGTACGATGCCCAGTACAAGTGAAGGACTCCAGAAATCATATGTATTCCCTCAACAGACACTTATGAAGCCCCTACCAGACACTGTGCCAGGCTCCGGGGACCTGGCAGTGACCACAACAGACACAGTTACCTTCTGCCCAGAGTGTCTGTCCAGTGGGCAACACAGCCTTAGACACATGGTTATCATGAGTGCCTGGAACTAGGGAGCTATCCTAGGCAGAAATACAGTGACAGTTCAAGAGGACACTGGGAAAGATTAAAGAGGAAAGTATTACTCACTTTAATAAACAGGAATTTTAAGGCCAGGCTGGATAGAGGCCACTGACAGGCAGAGAAGATTCGAGGCCTCCTGTCAGTCCTCTACCCAGAATTCTCTCAGTATCCTAGGAAGAAGTGCATGGCCCAAGGCCCAGCCACACTCAGGTAGAAATGAAGCTCCCCTGGACAGGACAGAGAGCAGAGGTAAGGGGCACGGCCGGTCTACCAAGGGAAGGCAGGGTAAAGGGGAGCACAGTGCGTCCCATGGGGGGACCTGTGTGAGGGGCTGGACAGTGGGCACGAGGACGGGCAGGGATGGGGCAGTGAACTGCAGATGACGGGGAGCAGTGCGACAGTGTGAAGGACCGTGCAGAGGACTTAGAGGTGAGGGGGCCCTGGAACAGGTGGTGCGAACTGGGAGAGGAAGCTGAGAAATGTGGGGCAAAGACGGGCCTGTGGCAGTGAAGATGGCCAGGGTGATGGAGCCAGGTAAGGACAGTCCAGGTGCGATGGGACTGGCGCTGGCAAGTGACAAGGCTGAGGAGGAGGCGGTTGATGGATGACAGGATTGGTTCAGATGGCAGCAGCTTCTGGCACAGGGCTGGGGTGGGAATGCTACCAACACAGAAAGGTCACGGTGGTGGGAACTGGGGCATGTGACAGCACAGGCACGAAGGGGCAATGGCTGTGACACAGAGATAACATGTGAATGACAGGATGAGAGACGAGTGATGGACATCAAGGTCACCTTGGGAGACGGAAAACGTGGGTGATGATGGCAAGTTAGATACCCATCCTGCCCTCTCCCCTGAGCCTGTTTCAACAGTTGAACTGTTTTCTAGGCCGCAGGTCCCATGACTCAGTGCTATGTGTCAGCCATGGTCCCTTGATAAGATCTCTAGGTGCAGCCACAGCCAGAGGGGCTGGCTGGGCACCCATCTGGGTCATGCGCAGGCTGGGCCCTTTGAGAGATCCAAGCACGGAACGTTAGTGTCATCTCTGTCTCCTCCCTCCTGGGTCCATATCTACCCCAACCCAGAGTCCTCCAAGAGCTGCCAGCTTTCCTCTACTTGGAAAATACGGCATCTGTGACAACCTATTAATCAGTGCTTTGTCTGCCCTACCAACTATAGGATCTTCCACAACTGACCCCATTAGAATTTTCCAGGTCTTCTAAGCTTCCTCCTGACTATCCCTAAAAGGGCACAGAGGAGGGCCGGGGATTTAGCTCAGTGGTTCTGCCACCTGCCTCGCAAGTCTAAGGTCCTAAATTCAATCTCCAGTACAAAAAAGGGCACAGAGGAGCAAGGTGGGCTTCATGAGTGGGTTCTGAAAAAAATCCCATCCAGCTGGGCAAGGTGATGCACACCTGTAATCCCAGCCACTTGGGAAGCTGAGGCAGGAGGATCACAAGTTCAAGGCCAGCCTGGGCAATTTAACAAGACCTTGTCTTAAAATAAAAAGGACTGGGAATGCAGCTTAGTCCAAAGGCCCTGGGTTCAATACCCAGTCCCACAAAAATAAAACAAAACAAAAACAAACAAATGAGGGCTGGGGATTTAGCTCAGCAGTTCAGTGGCCTGCCTTGCAAGCACGAGTTCAATCCCCAGTATGAAAACAAACAAATAAACAAAAAAAACAAAAAAAAAAGAAAAATTCCATCCATTCATCCCACAAAGATTTATGGGGTTCTTTTGCAACATACTAGGGGCTGACTTTTACAGTTAGACCTGTTTTTCTGTCTCCATGAAGCTCCATCTTGGGGACAGACTTGTGAACGACAATCACCATTAAGGAGAAAGTGATTCTCACTTAAAATTGAGGATGCAAATTGCTTTTTAGACCCTGAAGACAGTTTCACTAAAGGAAATCTCAAGGCCTATCTATGCCAGTGATGCATGTTGAAGCATGTATAAAGCATTCCTTTTGCTTTTTAACGGAACGAGAGAAAAGGGAAAAAGCACTTCATCTGGGTAACCACAATGTTTCAGGGATCCCAGGGTCTAGGCCAAGGTGGTGATGGACATGTCAGGGCCTCAACATTTCCCCCTTCAAATCTAACAATTAGGATCAACTCAGGACAGAATTCTTACTGTTTCTTGGCATATTTCCCTAGTCCTTCCAATCCTGCTACCAGCCCGTCTCTGTCAATAACCTTGGCCTGGGGATTAAGTACCATATTTTGAACATGTTTTCCTAATCATTTCAATCTTCTAATTCTTACACTTGGTATCCCAGGTCCTCTCGATCAAGTCCCCTGTGTTGTTCCCTTCTGGTTTCCTGGACAGCCTTCAGGAACTCTGTCCTTTTGCTCACACTGAGCCCTCTATTTCTCTGCCCTCCCACCCGAATCTAAGGGTGTTAGGACCCCAGAAAAGAATCAGATAATGCTAGGGCTGGAGAGGAAGTTAAGCGTCTCCATCATCCCACACAACACCGTATGTGGTCCTGATGGTGAAACTGAGGCCAAGGGCGATGGTGAAACTTGCTCTGAGGTTTAAAGCCACCTGGAGCTGACACCCAGGGTCCTCGCCCCACTGCATTCATCTGGTTGCAGGCAAAGCCTGGCCTCCTGGTTGGCCCCTTCCTGCCTCCCTAGTTTAAAGAGGTGTGGGCTCCTAGGGGCCACTACTCAAGAGCACTAGGAGGTTTGGGTTCCCAGAGCCTTCCTTACCTTGCCCACCTGGCCTCGCTCACCTGCCATTCTAAGGTCCAACAACATAGAACTGCTTTCTGCTCTCCCAGGACATCCTCACTCTTGCCTCCACACCTTTGCACAAGCAGTTACCTCTACCAGAGAATCCCTCAAGCCAATTTTTTCACATCCTCCAGGTCTCAGGCCAGAGGCATGGGCAGGCCAGATGCTTCTGAGCCTTAGAAGGACCCCAGAATTTGATTGAATATTATTGTTGTCTTGAAATTCTAAACACTTTATTTTAAAAAAAACATTTATTTATTTCTTCACTGGGCTTTTTTTTTTTTTTTTGAGACAGGGTCTCACTTTGTAGTTCAGGCTGGCCTTGAACTCAGTATGTAGCCCAGGCTGGCCTTGAATTTGTGGCAATCTTCCTGTCTCAGCCTCCCAAGTGCTAGGATTATAGGCGTGCACCACTACACCTGGCTTTTAAACACTTTTTGAAGAAGGATCCTTGCATATTCCTTTTACACCAAGTCCTGCAAACTATGTAGCCAGTCCTGTTCAAGTGTTTTGTTTCGGTAAAACACCCTAATCCCCAATTCCTCTGATTGATTGCATCTGCAGTCTCCTCCACTAATTAGACTTTAAATTCCATAAAGGCAGAAACTGCACAGTAGAGTCTAGTTTCCCTTTACCTACCAGTCCTTGGTTTCCACTAGGAAGTCCATTCTGCTCAGGGGGACCTGACATCTCTCCTGGGGAATGTGACTTAGACTACCCCATCAGGTCTGGCAGTGCTCCTAACTCAGGGACAGCATGTGACCGGGCTGATATTAATCAGATCATCTCAGGGTTTTTGCTGGAAAAGCTGACAGACGTTTTCTCTCCCCTGCCAGACATTGGCCTGAAAACTACTACCAGCTATCTTGTAATCACAAGAGGACTCAAAAGCCAGGTGTGGTGGCACATGCATGTAATCCCAGCACTCAAGAGGCTGAGGCAGAAGGATTGCCAAGAGTTCAAGGACAGCCTTGGCTACATAGTAAATTCAAGGCTAGCCTGAACTACTAGTAAAATCCTGCCCCAAAAAACCAAAACAAACAAACAAATATAAGAAAATCTAGCCTGGGGCTGGGGATTTAGCTCAGTGGCACTGCATCTGCCCAGCAAGAGCAAGGTCCTGTGTTTGATCACCGGTATGGGGGGTGGGGGGATGGAATCTAGCCTTGTGATGAGGCTGACAGCATGGAAGGTAGAGAGGAGACGAAAGGAGTGTAGATGCTGGATCAAACTTTATTTGCACCTTTCATCTAAATTCTTTAGTTATATGGCTACAAACAGCCACCTCCACGGTAGTATATGCAGCTTGTTGCTCATATGGTTGCCCTGAGGGAACTTGGAGTCATTGACCCCATGCTGTCCCCAGTCTAGGCTCCAGACAGGTATGCAGGGTGCCTTT